GAACAGAAATGCTGATATATCTGCGATACCTCTCAGTGGACTCTCCCATATGGTCCCCTGAAATTGGCCACTGCCTGCAATTAGATCGCATTCGAGATTGCCTACGTCTACGCGAGCCCGCGTTTTCCAAATTCCTAAAATTCCTCTGGGGGTCCTTATTGAGTTTCCGTTGGGATTCTTTCTGGGATTTTTTGAGGCCGAGCATAATCAGTTTACGGTATAGCCGAGGGGGGGGGCATCGTTCGCTTCCCAGGTTTAAGCTTTCGGCGTTTCGCGCTCTTTTCTCGGATCGGCGCTGAACCCCCCCAATGGCGGCGCCTCTGGCGCCGCCCTCTGGCGCGCTCCTCGCGCCAGGGAGGGGGGTCCAGCGCCGATCCAAGAAGTCCGCACGGACCCTTGACATTCTATGTCTATGCAGTCTTCTGCTCCTCGAGTGCCAGCGCAACACTCTGTGTGGCGACGCGGCGCCGACATGGAGTCTGATTGTCTCCACCCCAGCATCGCTGGTTCATCGCCTCCGCCTCCGCCTCCGCCTCCGCCTCCGCCTCCTCCTCCTCCTCCTCCTCCTCCTCCTCCTCCTCCTCCTCCCCGTGCATGCGTCGACGATGTGGTGCGATACTCCGTCCGACCTGCTCCGACACCAGGTGGGCGGCCTCCGCGCCCCGAGATCCGACGCCTCGATCGACTGCACCGTGCAACACATGTGGCACCTCTCGCCTGGGGTGGGCCTCTCGCCGGGGGCGGGCTTCTCGTGAGGCCTGCCTGGCCTGGGCCGTGTTGGGGCTGCCTTGGGCACGCGCGGGGCCGTCTTGGGGCCCTCGTGGGCCGTCCTGTTGCCATCTTGGGCCTCTCGCTGCCGCGTGCGGTGGTCCTGGGTGCCTCCCACAGGGCTCGGCAAACATGACTGACGGTTCTTGTGCTCGGTGCTTGCGTGGTCGGCGCTGCTTCAGTTTTGGCACGAGGTACTTTGCCTGACGCAGGGGTGCCCGAAATCCGACATTACCCTCACAGCGTTGAAGAACGCGTTTTCTGACACGTGCTCGAGTTATCGAGCGGTTCGATTTTGAAAGGCGTGTCAATCTATGTTTGACCAGGCTTGTATGGTCCATCTTGCGGCTCTCTGGAGCTGTCCCAGGCCCCTCCTGTGCCGTAGTGGAGCCCTCTTTGGGTTGTCCCTGGCCGGCTAGGGGGGTCTTTTTCGGGTCCTCATTGGTATTTTTTTGTTTCTTCGAAAGCTCGGTCAGAGCCATCTTGAGCCGACCGGGAAACGCACACTTTTTAAAGACCTGAGGGGATCGTTCTTGTTTTTTGCATGATTTCGGACTTCCCGGAAGGACGTCTGGGAAGTCTTTGACCCTTCTTGGGGTCCTCGGGGGCTGTATGTCGGGAGCCGAAACATGGCATAAGCATAACAACTCGGAGGTCCGCGCGGATTTCTTGCGTCCGCGCTGCACCCCCCCCTCCCTGGCGCGCGGAAGGGGCGGCGCCGGAGGCGCCGCCCAGGGGCCCCCGCGCCGCTCCGAGACATCCGCGCGGACCTCCGAGTTTTTTCGTGTTCCCGTCATTGTTCGTTCCCCCGGTATGGTGATGTGTTGGCGGACTCGGTTGCCTTCCTGCGCCGTGCCGGAAGGCTTGGGCAGCTGCAGAGAGCCTCGGGGAGATGCCGGGGCCCGCCCAGGGAGCCTCGTCAGGGAGAGGTGCTGCATGCACCAATCGTGTGGCAGGGGTCGACCCAGACGTTGTCTTGGCGATTTCGTGGGCCGTTTTCGTTTCGGTGCCGTTTCGCAGCAGAGGCGCATGGAAGACAGCACGACGGGAGCCGAACACAAAAGAAGACGATAACGAACAACGCCGTCTAGGGCTACCCCTGAAGCGTGGGTGGGCGGGCGGGTCGTACGAAGATTTCAGACCCCCGACAGCACTCGGCGTTCTAGCACGCCTCGACGCGACAGGGGTCGCAGTGGCGGATTTGTTGGTCCGCAGGCTGCGCGGGGCCCTGCGGCTTGCCCGACCTCCGACGCTCACGCCTACGCGGCCAATTTGGGGAACTGTAGAGTGTCTTCGAATTGGGTGTTTTTTGAAGATTCTCCAGGCTGACGCCACATCCGCCGACCCAATTTGTTGTGGATGGGTGGAATTCCTAACGGCGGTAGAGGGTTAGAGGATGTTGGTCGGGATCTCGTGGTTGGCCTCTCGGGGGCCTCCTAATTACCATTTCAGAAACATCTGCCGATGCGGGGAGGGGGGGGAGGGAAGAGTTTGATGAGGATAAGGAGGGGGAGGAGGAGGATGAGGAGGAAGTGGGCGATGAGTAGGGTGCGGGGATGAAGAAGGCGACGATGGCGACGACGACAATAGAGGGCTCATGGATAGTAGTCGGGAGGACGTAGTCTGGAGGACGGGGAGGGGGAGGAAGAGTGCAGGTTGGAGGCCTCTTGGGCGCCGTTTTGGGGTCTCTTGGGGCCCCTTTTGGGCCTCATGGGTTCGTCTTGGGGGGTCTAGGAGGACCTCCTGGGAGCTCCTGAGGGCCTTTTGGTTGCCTTTTGGATCGTGGTCCCCCTCCCGGCCCTCTCGTGGGCTCGTTTTCAGGCGGCCTTGGGCCGTGTCGGGTGCGTCTTGGGCCGTCTGGAGGCCCTCTGGGGCAATGTGGGGGCCCTCTTGGAGGCCTTTTGGGACGTCCTGGGGCGACCTCGGGGGCGTCATAGGCAGTCTTGGAGTGTCGGACAGGCGGGAAAGCGAGTTTGCTAAAAATGTACGTTTTACGAAGGGAATGGGGCCATTTTTGCGTCTGGGGACCCTGTTGGGGCACATCTTCGGGGCACCTTGGGGTGTCTTGGAGTCTGCGGAGAGCGTCTGGGGACCATCGCCGGCGTCTGGGGTCGATATTCCAACGATTCGTGGAGTCTCATCGGAGTCTCTCTGGAACTTGGCTGGCCTGGGCCCCTCTTTGGCTCTATTGGGGCTTCTGTGGATGTCCTGGGCGTCTGGGGGGCTCACTTGGGTCCACACTGGGCTCTTTTGGCATGCGTTTGTCTCATCGGAGTCTCTCTGGAACTTTTGCGTGGCCCCCTGGCCTTTGCCCTAGTGCCTTGGAGCCCGCTTGGGGCCCCCTCGGCGCAGCGTGTCGGGCCGTGTTTGCAGCCCTGGTGGCTCTCCTGGTCCGTCTCGGGCGCCCCGCGGAGGGCCTTGGCAGGCCCCCGGAGCGGCGTCGGGGGCCACCCAGGGGGGCCCCGGGAGGAGTGGGTGACGCATGCGGCCCGTGCGCGCAGGGGGAGGGGGTCCACGAGAGAGGGGGCCTCCCGAACAGCGTCGACGAGACCAGGACGCCGCGCGTTTGGGTCCGCACCCGCGGCCTCACGGGCGGAGCCCCTGGGCCGTGACCCCACGGATACGGGCGTGTGTTCGCCGATGCTCCGCGCGGAACGTATCCGTGCGTAGGGGGCCAGATGCGAACCCTGCCCCTGCCCCCCACGATTTCTGAGGGGGAGGGTGGGGTTCGCTTCAGAAGTCGTGGGAGAGGCAGGGGCAGGGTTCGCATCTGGCCCCCTACCTGCAGAGACCCCACCAGACAGCGCTTGGCGGTCTCCCGCGCCGCAGCATGCCGGGGGGCACTGCAGAGATCCAGGGGTCCAGGCGGCAGCTGTGTCTGTCACTCGCGGGGGGCGCCGCGGGATCAGGGCACAGCAGCGGCTCTGCCGCCCCAGCCCGTGGCGCGTATTTCGGCGATCGTGGAGGGGAACAGGCTGCACGAAGCAAATGCAGAAGGGAAGGGTAGAGGAGGAGGAGGAGGAGGAGGAGGAGTATGTGAGGAGGAGGAGGAGGAGGAGGAGGAGGTGGAAAGTGGATGAGGAGGAGAGCAGGCCCGAGGCAAGAAATGAGGGACGGAAGAACAGGGACGAGGGACGATGCAGTGAGGGTAGAAGAGCAAGAATAGCAAGAGGGGAGGAGGATGAGGAGGAGGAGGAGGAGGAGGAGGAGGAGGAGGAGGAGGTGGAAAGGAGGAGGAGGAGGCAGGAGATAGGAGGAGGAGGAGGAGGCGGAGGCGGCGGAGGCAGGAAGGAGGAGGAGGAGGAGGAGGAGGAGGAGGAGGAGGAGGAGGAGGAGGAGGAGGAGGAGGAGGAGGGGGAGGAGAAGGGGGAGGCGGAGGAGAAGGAGGAGGACGCCTGTGGGGGACCGTGGCGAAGGGATTGGTGCACGGAAGGCGTTGCGGGCGGACAGGCCTTGTTCTCCTTTCCTCCAGTGTAGGTAGGCAGGAGGGGGGCGGTCTAGTGGGCGCGGAGTGTTCTTGGTGTGCACGCCGGAGGGAGCGATCCGTGGCCGTCCTGGCTCGAGCGCGAGCTCGGACAATCTCGCCTGAAGCGTCTAGCCCGTCGGTACCCCGCAGAGGGCCATGTCTCGTTCTCTCGTCGGCGCCGCCCTGGCGCTCTCCCGGCTGGCCCAGACGCCGCTGGCAGCTGGCAGCGCGAGCAGCGGGGGCTGGTACGAACAGAAGCCGACCTGCACCGGCCTCAATTCGCTGTGCGGCGACGGTTGCACGGTCCACATGGGGGACTGCCGGGACGGACAGTGCTACACCATGATGGGCGCCTCCATAGCATGTGCTCCGGCCGTCATGGGCTGCAACGAGATGGACCGTTAGGGGGGCGCCAGGCATCCTTCCTGCAAGCCGACCCCGTCTGCTCTTCCTCCAGGAGAGACTTTGTTTTATCCCCTGGCGACGGCGGGCGTGACCGGGGGGGGGGAGGGGAGGGGGCCGGTAACGCCACGACTCGGGCTGGCGCCGCCTGGGAGTGCCTCGTAATGGCTGATGCCCAGACGGCGCCGGCGCAACTCGTGACCTGACCAGGGGGAGGGGGGAGAGCGGGGAGGCGAGGCCTGTGCAGGGCGGGACCTGGAATGATGTAGAAATGTGCTCCAAACCTCCGCACGCCGTCTGCCCGCACCGTTCGGCGGAGGGGTCGCCAATGGCAGGGGGGGGGGTTGCTGCGGCCGCGCCCGAGGACACGAAGGCCGCCGAGGGAGGCTGCTGCCCCGAGGGCACGCTGCCCGCGGGGCCCGGCAGCTGCGTGGAGGTCAGCTGTGAGAGCAAGCTCCATTACCACTGCGGCAGCGATGCCTCTGCGGCGCCCGCCTGCGCAGAGGACGGCGGGCAGCTGTCCACCTCGTCGCCACGCCTCGCCAGGGGCCCCGAGAGATGCCCGCAAGGGGCCGAGAGAGAGAGAGAGAGGGAGGGTCCGCGCCCGGGGTGGAAGAGTCATTCCATCGGAGGTCTGGGTCTGGCTGGGGGCCGGGAGTGCGGCGGCGTCACCTCCGTCGCGCCCCCTCCTGCGCAGAGGACCACGGCTCGCCTCGGCGCCACACCTCAGCTCACCGGGTCCCGAGCCTCGCTGGCCCCCGCCCCCTCCGCCGCTCCGCCCGGCCAGGAGGGGTGCAGACAGCAGTCGTCGTGATCTCCTCGCAACCTCTTCACCTCACTCCCGGCTCCCTCTCTCAATCCTGCTGATGTTACTTCGAATTTCACGTGTCCCCACCAGCCCATCCAGAAACGATGCCGAGGCGAGTTAGGAGCAAGCAGTGGGAGAGAGAGAGGGGGGGAATTGCCGTCAAACCGAAGCTCGTGGTCAATCTGAGCAGACCCAGAAATCAATCAGACATGCTGGCGCGGATCTTTCGATGTGGGACCTTTTGGCAGCTTACTTGAGCCATCTTGGGGCTGTTGCTGGGGCCCTCTCTGGCCATATTGGAGCCGTCTTGATGCCTCAGACTCCCATCGGAAGGTCCGATGGGAGTCTGAGGCATGTACAAGAGAACGATAACTTGGAACAGTGAACGAATAATTTGGAGACAATGTCGAGAGGCGCCACATCAAATGGACACGTGAGGACCAAGGCAGGCGAAATCACCTCGGACAGCCACTTGGGCATAGGATCGGGCAGGGCCAGATGCGGGGCCGACCGCTGCACAAGGCACTCGCGCGCGACCGTTCAAGGGGGTCTGGCAATGCCACGCAATTCCCAGAGCTCCTTGGTCACGAGATGGCGCAGACTCGGCCTCTGGGGTCGATCGAAACGGTGGTTTTGGCGATTTCGTGGGCCGTTTTCGTTTCGATTTCGTCTTGCAGCAAAGGCGGATTGAAGACAAAACGGGGAACAACGGAAACAAAACGAAACGAAGAACACTGTTCGCGTCGATCCCTGCTCGGCCTCGTGCCTCCAAGGTCGCGTGCGTGCCATCGCTTGGGACCGAACACGAGGCGGCGGCGCGCCCTCGGGCCCCCCCCTTCGGCAGAGAATTTGAAAAGGCCGAGCGGGTGGCGAACAGAAATGGAAACGAACGCGAACAGATGTTCCTCCTCCTCCCCCTCCTCCTCCCTTTCCTCCTCCTCCTCCTCCTCCTCCTCTTCCTTCTCCTCTTCCTTTTCCTCCTCCTCCTCCTCTTCCTCCTCCTCCTCTTCCTCCTCCTCCTCCTCCTCCTCCTCCTCCGCCTCCTCCTCCTCCTCCTCCCCCTCCTCTTCCCCTTCTTCCTCCTTCTTCTCCCCCTCCTCCTCCTCCTCCTCCTTCTCCTCCTCTGGCCCGGCGTGGTGGTCGAGTTGACAGGAAGAGTCGGGGAAACGCAAACGGCGTGACCATGCTCTTTCGGAGGTCCGCGCGGCTTTCTTGGATCGGAACTGGGCCCCCCTTGCCTGGCGCGCGGGGCACCGCCAGGGGAACCCCGGCAGCAACAGTAAACATCCGAGCCAACCGCTGCCACCACTCACCAGTGACAGCATCGGCAAAGACGGCGGTATCAGTTCGTCTGGTGTCAATTCGGCTGGCGCCAATTCGTCCAGTGCCAATTCGTCTGGTGTCAAGTCGTCCAGTGTCAATTCGTCCGGTGTCAATTCGGCTGGTGCCAGTTCGTCTGGTGTCAAGTCGTCCAGTGTCAATTCGTCCGGTGTCAATTCGTCCTGTGTCACTTTGTCCGGCACCAATTCGCCTGGCGTCCAGTCGTCCGGTGTCAATTCGTCTTGTGTCAATTCGTCCGGTGTCAATTTGTCTGGTTTCAATTCGTCTGGTTTCAATCCGCTTGGTATGTCTGTAGAGCATCACAGAGCCGAGCAATCAAACACAGCTGCAGTAAGCGGAACGAAAACGGCCGAACGAACGAGGACGACATGAGAGCGGACGAAACGAAAGAGTACGAAACGAACGTCGGACGAAACGAGAGAGCACGAAGCGAACGAGGACGAAACGAACGGCGGACGAAATGAAGGGCGGACTAAACGAAAGAGGACGAAACGAAAGAGGACGATTCGTAAGAGGGCGGAGTGAAAGAGGACGACACGAAGTAAGACGGAATGAAAACGGACGAAATGAACGTCAACCCCCGAAGGTGCGCCAGTGAGCTCGTCGACCCCCGCCCGCCCCCCTTCACCCTTCAACGGTATTTTGCACCCCAGGAAGGGGAAACGGGGAGGGGGACAACCAAATGTCTCAGACGCTCACCCACACGAGGTTTTGTAATGATTTTGGCCTCTCGGGGGCGTCCCCGGAGTCTTCATGGCCATTTGAAGCTGTCTTCTGGCCTCTTGGAGGCATGTCCGAGGCTATCTTGAACCATCATGGTCTACCTTGTACCATCTTGTAGGCTAGCGTGGGCTACCTGGGTCCAGGGCCCTCTTAGAGCAATCTTGGCCCAACAGCCTCCCAAGGATGCCCCCGAGATGCCAACATCTGTCAATCATCACATCTGAGGCTTGTCAGTGATTTTATCTTTGAGCGAAGGGTCAGAATCAGCGTTCCCCCGTCGAAAAGCTAAACATCGCCTCTTGGGGCCCTCTGGGGGCTCTTGGAGCTGTCTTGGAGCCGTCACCGATTCGTCTTGGACCCCTCTTGGGGTCCTCATGGGCCATATTGGAACCGTCTTGAGGTCTCAACTCCCCCGCCAAAAGCGAAAAGGCGAGAATGCAAGCACAATTGATTTCCCGTAGGTTTGGGAATGACTTTGGCCTCTCGGGGGCGTCCCAGGGGGGCTCCGTGGCCACTTGGAGCCGTCTTACGGCGGTCTTGGGGCTTGTGGGAGGCATGTTGGAGGCTACCTTTGAGCCAGGGTCTCCCGTGCTGCCATCTAGAAAGGGCAAGTTGGGCCATCTTAGGCCATCTTGGACGCTCTTGCCGCTCGCGCCCCCCCTCCTTCAGACCCAGGGAGAGGGTAGGGGAAGGGGTCAAGCTGCCCCCCGAAAGGCGCAAACCGTCTTGCTCACTCCCACCCGCCCTCCCAGCACATGTGCATCATCCGAGCCTGCGTTTCCGATGCCGCATTCTGATTCATGAGGTGGGGCGCCCGGGTATGACCCCGGTTTTACTGCAAAGTGTTTGCTGGTACCCCCGCCGCATATTTCAACGACCAGTGCAAAGTGATCGCCTGGTGCCCGCACGTGATCCAGATTTTGCTGCGATATGTTGCATGTTGTTTGACAGGGATGGTTTGGGGGGTGTCGTCGTGGTTCGGGGATTGTCTCCAGTCAAGCGGGGGAGGGTGTGCATATTATAAGTTAAGTGCAGACATGAACCCCTCCCTGGAGGGGAATAGTGGGAGTTAGGAGAATTGGCTCCCTGAGCTACCTACGCCCAGAGGACTGGTGGTAGGATTGTCTCGCATTCGCTCAGTTTCACTCACATTCAGAGTACTCCTGCCCAGACTCACTCACACTCTAGCCACTCATGCACAGACACACTCACACTCAGACCCCGTCTCGCGGGACCGGTCCTGTCATCATTGCTCATCTTTCGGCGCCCCCCAGGGGCCAGAGATGGCCTTGCATGGGGGCCGAGATGGAGGGAAACCGCTGGGGCAGTCACAGTCACTCCGCCAGATGTCTGGGGAGCGGAGGGGAGGGAGGGATGCAGGGCTGAGACTGGCGTTCGCAAAGAGGGACCCTCCAGAGGAGCCCACGGCACCAGCGGAGCTGGGCGCGAGCATCACCGGCACGGTGACCAGGTGCGCCAAGGGCAGCGCGGTGTGCTACGCACTCGACATCCAGCCTTTGTCGGGGTCGTGGGAGTGGGTCTACCAGGAGAAGGACAGGCTGTACCTCGCGCGCGGCTGCGACTCGGACCCCGGCCCGGACCCCGCCCCGGACCCCGCCCCCATCAGCGGCGCCGCGGGCAGCCACGGGCTGGTGGCGCTGCTGCTCCCGGGGCTGCTGCTGCCTGCCGCGGGGCTGCTCTCCGCCGCGTAGCGGCCAGGCGGTCTCGGCACGCGCCTCCTCGCGGGCCCACGCGGTCCGCTTTTGCTCTCTGCCGCCACCCGGCCCCGGCGAAGCGTGTGACAACGGGCGGATGTGCGCACGTTTTGTTGTTCGACGGCGCGGGCGTACGGCCCGTGGCGTTTGCGCGGTTACAGCAGCGCGCACCAGCGCACTGACAGCGCGGCAGCCCTCTTGGCGCTGCCTGCGTGGCGCGTCTGAGTGACAGGCATGATGACACCCTAGGCCCTAGGCCCGCGTTACAGAAGATGTCGCGGTGCGGGGGGGCTACAGTCCGTCGCTGGACCCTACGACGTCCGACGACGGCATGACAGAACAAAAGTTGACGCCTCGCATAACTCTCCCCACCTGCCCCTCCAGAAACGATCGCTAGGGAAGGTGCCCTGATCAGGGAAGTTCAGGGGCATGCAGTGGAACAGACAGGGGAGTCAGGGGGCGTAGCTCTCCGAGGGTGACGCAGCGTTGCGCCGAGATTGGCGTGGGCGGCGTGCGAATGCACCCACGGCCGTAGGTGGAGCCCCTCGTACTGTGGGCATAAAACGAGCGATGGGGTGCGTCGGAGTGGCCAGGGAGGGGGGGGGGATGGGACACGAGCCGTGCGAGGGGTGTGCCGAGATAGGCAGGTGGTGGCGCTCTCCCCGACAGGGAAGGGAAGATGGGTGTTGGAAGGGGAACCGCGCTAGACCACCTCCTCCCAGAGGGCTGGTGGGACTGCACGCGAAGCACCCCTCCGCCAGGCGAGGGGGGGCGGTGAACCGCAGACGCCTGCGGCGAGTCACCGCCGCTCCTCCCGTTGCGGCAACGCGCGTGCAGTGAAGCCTCGATCGAGCGTTCGGCCAGGTCAGGGGACCGCGTGTTCCCCCAGCCGCTGTTGGAGCTGCCGCTGGGGCAACA